AGCCGGCGCAGCGGGACCCGCGCCCCGGCCACTCCACGGCCGCCGCGGAGGACCTGCCGGGCTCCCTGGACAGGCACCCGGCCACGCCCCTCCTTTCCCCCAAATACTTTCAGTCTCCAGCGTGGCGCCCCGGATCCTCTCCTCAGAGCCACGGCTGGAAGCCCCTGCCACACCCCAACACTGTTCTAGACCCTGACCTCAGAATCCCGCACAGCCCTCTCAGAACATAAAGCACCTACTAGACACCGAGCCCCTCATGTGCCCCCAGGACGGCTGTGACCGCTCCCCACCAAGATCTGCTAGCATCCCTGTTCCAAAGGGTTGAGCTTTTCACCCAATTTTTTTCTTTATTCGTTCTCCGTAGCCTACTACCTTTTATCGCCAAGTATTCTCCTCTCAGAAAGACCATTTTCTTTTTCTCCTACCCACCTTCCTAGGGTGTGTTCCAATTTGTTGTAGGGCTAGAGTTTTCCAAGATCTGTTTAGGAATTGTCAACTCTGCATTCCCACTGCTACCCTACACAGGCCAAAGCCAAAACACCGTGTATTGGGGGGCTATCATTCTTCGTACTTGCTTCCTCTTTCTGCCTCCCACTTTCTGGGACGTAGTGTGAACACGGGCGTTGTCTTCATACTAGCCAGTGAAACATCTGCTATTATTGATAGACCACCTTGCACACAGTAGACACCCATAGAAAAATAGGCAGATCCTTATTAAAGGAGTGAATAATTGCCTGCTCCACCACTAGTAATCACTGGAGGTGGCCCTGCCCACAGTCATCCCGTCGGGAAGACGCAGAGCTGGTTCCAATTCACACCTGCCTACTTGTCCTCATCTCTGCTTGCCCCCTGGAGGCCAACACACAAGGCCCTTTGCAGAGGTCCCGGGATGGGGAGAAGGAATTAACCAGTGAGACGTCCCATGCGGCACTCTCGCTGGATCTTTCCAGGGAATTCTCCTTCTGAGCAGCAGGAGCCTCCCTCTTCCTCCACTTGGCCCCATCCTTGCTTGTTTATTAATTATCTTAATGATAACAGCAGGGCTGGCGGCGGCCTCAGACCCAGCTGGGGGCGCCCCCAGGCGGCAGCACAAGAAGATACGTCAACAATTGGAGAGCAGGGGCCCGACTCCCGCTGAGCTCTAGGCCAATTTTCTTGGAAACTCTTAGATGGCTCCAGGACCCTTTCCTGAAGCAGAAAAGAAGAGAAAAGAAAGCCCACACAAACCTGCTCTTTTCCAGAATCCATTGCTTTGGAAGTTGGAGTGGAAGCCAGAATGGCTGGGCTGCTGACACCTTCTGCACGGTTACCCCTCTCTTCTCAAGAGGGGACTTCTCCAGGAAGAGGGACTCTCTTTATTTCAGCTGACATTGGAAAGAATCTTCCCGGAGGATGTTAACCTAGAGGCAAACTCAGCTCTACTTCATTCCAAGACCTGATACAGAATTCTAGCCCAAGGGTTTACACTTCATTAACAGCCAAACTGGACCCTTCTGCAAGTCATGGATGTGGCTTTATTCTCCACTTAGAAAAATTTTTCATCCTAGCTGCAAGCCTGAGACATTACAATCATGCCAAGGAGCACACTTTCCCTGAAGGTCAGGAAGCCCCGGCTCTGTGTTTTTTCCATAATTTCACTCCAAGGTCCCTCCTGGCTCTTGGTATTTCTGCTTACAGGGCCAAAGTGGCAGGGAGAAACCTGTGGGATCTGGTCTGCTTTTTCATCTCCTACACAAGGGTGGCTAGTTCCTGAGTTCTCACAACCCACTCAGCCTGCCCCCCATCCTCCCCACCCCAGCATAGCATAGGAATGTGCTTCTAGGGGTATGTGAGCAGGTGTGAATTTTGTGGAAGAGATGTGTAGGTGGGTGAGAGGGTGTGCATTGTGATGTATGAGGGAGGGTGTGCATTTGTGCAAATTCTAAATGTGACTGACGCTTTGTGGGTGGATGGGGAGAAAGTGTGTTCGTGTGTGTGTGTGTGTGTGTGTGTGTGTGTGTGTGTGTGTGTGTGTAACTGGAGGATGAAGGCTGCCTGGGCAAATATATGCCTGCAAAAGTTCCCTTCCCCCTGAAAATGCATTGCTTGGAGGGAAACTAATCAAATCAACAGGAAATGTATTTGACCTAACAGAAGCAGCTGTCCCTGGAGTTCCTGTCCTCAGGACAGAACCAGAGCCAGCTCTGTCTGTCTCAGGGGAGGAACATGCTATTGCATGGGTAAAGGAATAGAATGGAAGAGAGGAAGGGGCAGTGGCAGCCTCACATTGTGGACAGGTTGAAGTTGGACCACAGCATCTCCTTACTCCGCTAAATGGTAAAAATTTGGAGCAGAGAAGTGCCTCGGTGGTCAGCGCACGTGTTCCTCTAGCAGCAGACCCCCTCGTTTGATTCCCAGATCCCACGTGATGGCTCACAACCATCTGTAAGTCTAGCTCCAGGGGATCCGACATCCTCTTCTGACTTCCTCTGGCACCTGGCACACACATGATGCACATACATATGTGGAGGCAACACTCATACACAAACCACTGCCCACAGGAGCAGGACACTTGATGCCAATTTCCAGGGTCCCAGGAAGCAGCCACTTCAGCTTCTTCAGACTTGAGGCCTCTCTCCCCACAGGGAAAAGGAAACAACCTGGCAGCGGTGGCGCATGCCTTTAATCCCAGCACTCGGGAGGCAGAGACAGGCGGATCTCTGTGAGTTTGAGGCCAGCCTGGGCTACAGAGTGAGTTCCAGGAAAGGCACAGAGCTACACAGAGAAACCCTGTCTCGAAAAACAAAAAAAAAAGAAAGAAAGAAAGGAAGGTGAGATGTGGGATATGACAGTCTCCTTGACTTGTACCCATTGACCAGTTCTTTCCTAACCACTGGCTCATGAGTGTTGGCAGGTCCCATTCAAGGAATGAGGAAGACCACAGACTATGGTCTTTATCTCTTCCCAGGCAAACATTGTTTGCTTTGGGGATTAATAGGAAAAATAATGCCTATAGTTGAATTCCAAGGGTGCTGGAAACTGTTGCTATGCCTACCGAATGCTAAACAGGAGATCATGCCACTCCTTGCCCCATAGAAGATGAAGCAGAAAGGTATTCCCCAGAGGAGACTATGCTTTCCCTAAGAATCAC